GCTCCAGCGTGAGCGCAGGCATTCGCACACAGTTTTATGGGATTCCTCTTTTGATCTCCTCTGCATTCTTCCCCACACTCTGGCTCCAAAGGTCCTCTTTTCTGGTCTTCTGGCTAGAAAGCTGGGACTGTAGTGTCTCCACTCTGCTGCGTACTTCCTGTGATTGGGTCTGGCCAACTGGGAGGAGGACAGAGAAAGAAAAAAAGCAACAGGGACTCCCTTCACACTCTTTGGACCGCAGGTCCTCCGGTCCAAGACAGGAGTCCACTCTCTCAGAAGTGCAGATGCCTGTCCAGCTGCCACTTCTGCTGCTGCCACTACCGTCACAGGGGGGCCTGCCTAGGGGAATGGGTGGGAGAGAAAAACAAAACAGAATTCCCCTACCTTTGCTGTCCCACCGGGATCTCCCTTCCCACTCCTTGGACCACAGCAGAGGGCTTCTGTTGGATCTCTTTCTGTCTTTGCCTGGTACTTGGTTCTGGGACTCATGTTGCCTTTGAGCTAACACACAGGAGGAAAAATAAATCCAGAAAGCGTACCGTCCTGTGGCTCCTATTTTGAGTTCTGGTTTCCTTCTCCAGTTCACCTGCTACCATTTCCTTTTCAGAGTCCTCAGGTAGCTTCCCCTGCATTCTGTTGGGGCTTTTAGTTAAATTTGCTGAGAAACAGGGGAGAGTGTCCTTACTCCATCTTAATCGATACTAGAGCCCTGATTGAGTTTTTTATTTTTTATTTTTTGGTTCTATTTTTCTTACTCCATTTTATTCTGTTTTTTGGGAAGTTATACATTGTGTTTATGTTCTTTGTTGCGGTGGTTCTCAATGAAGGACAATTTCCTCCCCAAGGGACATTTAGCAATGTCTGGAGACATTTTTGGTTGTCACAACTTGGGGAGACGTTGCTATTGGCATGCAGTAGGTAGAGGTCAGGGATGCTGCTGAATAGCTCACAACGCACAGGACGTTCCCCCACAGCAAAGGGCCATGTGGCCGGAAATGGCAACAGTGCCGAGGTGAGAAACCCTGCTCTGTTGTATGCCTTTGAAATTCTAGCATGCGTATTTAACCGCATCTAAAGTTAAATAATGTCTTAACCCACTCCCTTTCCTGAACAAAACAGGAACCTTAGAACAGTTTAATTCCAATCCCTTTCCTCCAGACTTAAATGCTATTCTGTCCAGTGTTTTTAGTTATGTCCCATTTTAAAACCTCACAAATTAGATATATTAATTATTAGATATAATAATATATATATTATTGTAGGGGGTATTTTTGGTCTTAAATTATTATTTATTTTTTTTTTTTGAGACAGAGTCTCACTGTGTTGCCCGGGCTAGAGTGCCGTGGCGTCATCCTAGCTCACAGCAACCTCAAACTCCTGGGCTCAAGCAATCCTTCTGCCTCAGCCTCCCAAGTAGCTGGAACTACAGGCATGCGCCACCATGCCCGGCTAATTTTTTCCATATATTTTTAGTTGTCCGATTAATTTCTTTCTATTTTTAGTAGAGACGGGGTCTCGCTCTTGCTCAGGCTGGTTTCGAACTCCTGAGCTCAAACAATCTGCTCGCCTCAGCCTCCCAGAGTGCTAGGATTACAGGCGTGAGCCACTGCGCCCGGCCGGTCTTAAATTATTTTATTTGCCTACTTCCTAGAGCTCAGACTATCTTTCTGGGATCATTTTTCGTATACACACACACACACACATATACACAAACATATAAACATATAATCTTCTTTCACAGTTTCTTCAGTGCAGATTTCTTGGTAAGTTCCCTTAGTTTTTGTTTTTCTATAAATATCTTTATTTCATCACTTCTTGGCCTTTTGGCTAAAATCAAGGGTAGTATCTGTTCTTATCAATTTAAATGTCTTTATTTCATCTTTGTTTTTGAAGGATGGTTTTGCTTGATACACAAGTCTAGCTTAACAGTTAGTTTCTCAATGCTTCGGTGATTTTATCCCACTGTTTTCCAGCTTCCCTTGTTACTGGTGGGAAATCAGTAGTCATTCTAATTGTTATCCATTTGTAGATAATCTGTTGTTTCTCTCTGCCTATCTTTTCTTTTTTCCCCTAGAGATGAGGTCTTGCTCTGTTGCCCAGGCTGGAGTGCAGTGGTGCGATCACAGCTCCCAGGTAGCTGGGACTACCAGCTCTATTCATCTTTAAGATGTTCTCTGTAAATCTTCTCCTCCAGAAAAACCACAGTTTTGTGCAAGAATGCGATCATTTTTTGTCTCTTAATCACAAAACCCTTCCTGATGCTGCTTTTTAAAAGATTTTACATCTTTCCTTCCTTATTCTGTGACCCTCCTGTATCCTGTAGAAGAATTCTATCATGGTACTTGTACATAATAAGTGCTATACTTATTATTTACATGTCTTTTTTTCTTACTGAACTGTGAGTTCCTCAAGGATAATCTGTTTCTAGCATCTAGCATGGACCTGGTACATAATAGATGCAGTAAATATTTGTTGGATGGACAAATATGTGGCCTGCAGGTATACATTTGGCTAAAATGCAGATGAAATTGTATGAATTTACCTGAGCTACTTCCTCTAGCATCTCCCAGAGATCTGAATGCATGCAGGTGTTTTCACTCTAACAGGACGCTGAGCTCTACCATATGCTCTTTCTCATCGCAGCTGGCAAGCTCCAGTGATTTTTTTCTTTCTTTTTTTTTGTTTTTTTGCTAATATATTGACAGAGCATTCTGGTCAGACTCTGGTCTTGAGGAAAGCTACACAACAAGTCAAGAGGATATCAGAAGCAAGAGAATATGAGAATATGCTTCCTAGAAAGGTGAGTGCATGATTCGAAATTTAATAGTAGAGGTAGATTTAAAAGGGGGCAGGAGATGTGACTAGAAAGTCTAGCTCTGTGAAGGTGTCAGAATGAGAATTGGGGATATTCCTGATTATACACTCAGGTGATACATTCAGGAAATTTCCAGAGGGTAGTTCCTGGGTGAGTACACACAAGTTGAGAGAGCATTTTGTCTGGATTTCTCCAGGGATTTAGATCACCTGCTTGAAACTCAGGGGCCTGTGTATAGTGGAAAGTGAGCACTGGCCTCAGTTTCCCATTCTACAAACTGGGACAGTAATTTCTAGGTCATGGTGTTGCTGTGCAGTTTACCTGAGACAATGATGATAACTAACATTTAAGGGTCGCTTACTCCATGTTGGGCACGATACTAAACCTTATGCAAGCAGCATATTTTATTTTACTGTCGCAATCCTCTGAGATAGTTACTACTGTCATTCTCCAGTTTGTTAGTGAAGACAGTGATGCTGAGAACAGGTAACGAATCTGTCCAGGATCGCGAAGCAGCTAAGAGATCAAGCCGAGACTTGCATGCAGATCTTTCTGGCTCTGAGCCTGAGTTCTTCACCGCTGAGCTTCGCTCCCGCACAGCACCCAGCACCGGGAAGGCTCTAAATTCATGTTCCCTCCTCTTCTCCTCGCCTCCCCCAACTCCTCCCACAAACCTCAGTGAATGGTAGTTTAGCTCGATGGAACCCTCAGTATCATTTAGCGGGAAGAGGCCCTGAGGATTCTGAACAGGGTGAGAGGTTTCGGGCTAGAGAGGGAGTCAGGCCATAGAATTTGGGGCAAGTACAGTGAGGACTGTAGACTTCTTAAACCTTCTGTATTTCTCCGTATGTATTAGCACTGCTTCTTTCCCCTCAGCATTTGGCAGTGAAACTTCTGAGAAGTAACTGGGCATGGTGGAAAAGACAGACAGACATGGGTTCAAATCTTGGTGCTGCCTCTCACCAGCTGTGTTGCCTGAGCAACTAGTTTAACCGTTTTGACTTTCTTCTATAAAATGGGGAAAACAAATCCCAGCAGACATATGCTCCTTCATGCTGACAGGGTGGGTAGGTTTGCTCTAGAGGTAGGACGGAAGGAGATGAGCAATCAGTCCTATTCTGTGGTCTATCTTGGTGAGGAGGGAAGCCCAGCATTAGAGTGGATGGTGGCAGATTTTAACAAGAACCAAAAAGAGCTGAGAGCTGAGTGTCCAGCAGGGAAAGGTGGAAGGGAAGTACCAAGGCGCGCTCAGATGTTAGTGACCCCTCCTCTTGGCCACCAAGCTCATGCTGCCACAGGTCTATTGCGCTTGTTGTCCCCTTAGCCTGGAACACCTCCTGACAGATCTCCCCAGGCTCTCTCCCTTCGCATAATCCAGAATGTCTAGGATCCCACCTCCCCAGGCAGCCTTCCCTGATTACCCCGGGAACAGGGAACTGAATCCTGTCATCCCTACCACTCTCCATCCCCTCGCCACCTGGTGCTTACTAATCTCCATAATATCATGTCATTCTTTTATTTGTTGATTTGTTTATTGTTTTTCTCTCAACTGTAATGCAAGCTCCATGAGGGCTAGAATTTGTCTTGTTCTCTGCTGAATCTCCAGCATCTAAAACAGTACAAATACATAGTAGTCACTCAATAAATATTTGCTGAATGAATTAACATTTTGGTAACATCCAGTCTCTCATCCATCATCTTTTAACTGATTTATTTCATATAAGATATATATACTACTATCTAATTTTGCATCTCAATTTTTAAAAAGTTACTATTATACCTGAAACCTTTATTTAGGTTATCAACTCTTCTTAAATATTTTTATATTGTGATTATAACCACTCCTTTGGGTAGAGATATCAATATCTTCTCCTTGAACATTGAGGTTATTCTAATCTTTCGCTATGTATAGTAAATATCTCTGCAGTAGACATCTTCGTACCTAAACCTTTTTTCTTCCTTTTTCTTTTCTTTTCTTTTTTTTTTTTTTTTTTGAGGAGCAGGAGAGGGAGGGACGGCGAGAGGGAAAGGAAGGCCCTTTTTTCTTTATTTTGAGTAATTTCCTTAGGATGCATCCTAAAACTGGAATTACAGGATCACAGGACACGAGTGCCTTTCTGTTTCTTAATACATGCTGTAAAAATGACGACGTCCTTTATTTTTGCCCTCTTTTTTTTATCCTCAGTCTTGCGCTGCCTGCAAGAGCCCTGAGCTGACTTCAAACTTCTTGAACATTTATGGGAAGAGCCCTCTGATCGTGTACTTTCTCCATAACTACGCCAGTCTGCGGCAGCACGGCAAGGACGTGTTGATAGTCAGGAGGGAAAGGACCAAAAGCGTCCCATATCCTTGTCACTGCAGACAGGGCACGTTGTGCCTGCACAGCATGGGTGCTCATCAGGGGTGGCCATTGATAAGAGCTTCAGGGTCAGAATCTAATTTTAGTTCCAAATCTGGAGCCAGCCTCATGAACTGGCTTTGAGACTCTGGGAATGTTGACTTTCCTCGTGAGCAAAATCTCCTTTCTTCCGTCTACCAGAATGAATGGGCAACCGGGGACTCTAGCATACTTTAAAACTAAATAATGCTTCCCAGATGCTCACTGACCCCAGAGTGGGTACTGACCAGGAATTCGGTGTCCTTGTGTATGTTTCATCTAACACCCTCCTCACACACACTCCTCCCCCAGACCCATCGGCAAATTCCTGGCCCCATTGCCATTTATCCTAAAGATCTGGTTAAAAGCTCAGAGCTCAAGAAAACAGATGTGATATGCATTGGTGTCCTGAGTCTTAACACTTTACCATAGTGGTCAGAACGTGAGTTCTGTTTGGAATCAAAGTGGTCTATTGGTCCAAGTAGACCTGAACTGAGGAACCAGCTCTACCCCTAACCAGCTGAGTAATTTTAGATAAGTTTCAGCTTCTCTCTGGGCCTCATTTTTTTAAATCTGTAAAATAGGGATGAGAATGCCTGCCTCATAGGGCTGTTATGCAGACCACACACGCAGTGGCGTAAAGGTGTAGCCCAGTGGCTGGCAGATCACAAGTGCGGGAGTGGCACACGTCCACACCTAGCGCCCCATCAGGAGCTTTGGTAATGAACTGGGTAGGACTTTGCATCTCCTGCTGTATGGAGTTTCATGTCCACAAACTTATTTATGTCTATAGGGAGAGAATAATAACAGCAACTCACATTTCATAGTGCTTTACTGTTTGTAAAGTGTTTTCCCAAATATCACCTCATTCTTCTGTAATGACAGTTTAGTGTAGTGGAAGGAACCAGGTTTGGGAATACACAGCCCAAATTTGGGTCCCAGCTTAGCAACCACCAGCCTTGAGATCTCATGTGCACAGCTTACCCTTAAGCTTAATGTCTTTATCTACTCACTCCTAAAATAAGGATAGTTATACCAAACTACTAATAGTGTTGTGAAAAGGATTAAATGGTATACAGCTGGCACTAAGTAAATATCATTATTATTATTAACATCATCTAACAGTAGGTATTAGTGTCCCTATTTTATAGGTAAGGAGATGGAGACATAGAGGATGACTTATAGCTTGTCTGAGGTCCACTACACTAAACTGTCATTACAGAACAGTTTAGCTGAGATTTTACTGACAGATGTAGCTGAGATTCCACCCAGTCAAGCAGCAGGGGTGGAGGGAGGGTGGAGCAGAGAGAGGCTTTTCCAGCATACAAACTGGAGACAGAGAATGACACCTTGGACGGGAAAGAAAAGGAATGTTGGAGCCCCTTTCTTTGCACTGCTGTGCTAGCAGAGTGAGAATTTCAGATGACAGTCTGAAAAGTATTTCCCAGACGTCCCTTCCCTCCACAGGGGCAGAGAAGGGCTTTGTTACAAGGCAGGGAACTGCCTGGCCACAGACAGGATAGCCTCTTCCTTCCAAAGCCAGTCATGGTCAACAAGCAGGAGGGTCACCATCCGCTCTGATTTCAGTTATCTTGTCCCAAAACAGGGGGCATTTCCCCCTTCTGCACCCTACCCTCCCCACACACTGGGCTCGTGCCACTAATAATGCAGAGTCAACAGTATGGGATTTTCCTTGACAAAGAAAGCCACTGAGTCCACCCCAACGTACGCTGACATCATCAGCATGACCCTGAGCAGCATGAAGAAGCGAAAGGACAACTTCAATCAGTTGTACCAGCTTCACTGCAATGAGTGGAGTTACTTTAACAAGCACCTGCAGGAACTGCAAGACAACTTCCTCAGGTAGGGAAGGGGCTTTGGGAAGCTCCACTGCTTCAGCGCTTGTCTAGCGTAGCACGTCGTCATAACTGTAAATGGGGGTGCTTCCCTGTAACTATCTCACAGGCAATTAGTTTTCTTGTGGTCAGAATGTGAACTCCTCGATAACACAGACCAGATCCTTTCTTTAAAGTTATTGTGGGTCAGGCGCGGTGGCTCACGCCTGTAATCCTAGCACTCTGGGAGGCCGAGGCGGGCGGATTGTTTGAGCTCAGGAGTTCAAGACCAGCCTGAGCAAGAGCGAGACCCCGTCTCTACTAAAAATAGAAAGAAATTAATCGGCCAACTAAAAATATATAGAAAAAAATTAGCCGGGCATGGTGGCGCATGCCTGTAGTCCCAGCTACTCGGGAGGCTGGGGCAGTAGGATCACTTGAGCCCAGGAGTTGGAGGTTGCTGTGAGCTAGGCTGACGCCACGGCACTCTAGCCTGGGCAAAAGAGTGAGACTCTGTCTCAAAAAAAAAAAAAGTTATTGTTTTTCTAACTACAAAAACATTACATGCTCAATGAAAGCAAACAAAAAACCTGGAAAATCACATAAAAGCACCTAGAGGTACATACTGCCAATGTTTTTCTATAAATCCTTCCAGGAACATGTGTCTGTATTACTAAACAAAATTAGTAGAGTCATACTGCCACTTAGCAGCATATTATGGACATTTTCCTGCGCCTGCCTTCTGCCTTTTTCAATATTTTTATTTTATTTAGAATTCCTTCAGACCTTTTAGAAAAGTTGAAAGGATAGTTCAATGAGCAACCATATGCCATCACTGCATTTACAAGCATTCATATTTTGCCACATTTACTTTTTTTTTTTTTTTTGAGATAGAGTCTTGCTCTGCTGCCCTGGGTAAAGTGCAGTGGCATCATCGTACCTCACTGCAACCTCAAACTCCTGGGCTCAAGTGATCCTCCCACCTCAGCCTCTTCCCAAGTAGCCGGACTATAGGCGCAGCCTCCATACTTGGCTCAAAGTGTCATTTTAGGCTTTACTTGCTGCTCCAGGATCCAATCAAGAATCAGGAAATATGCTTTATTGTTTTATCTCTTTGGTGTCTTTTAATCTGTAGCAATACCCTGTGTTCCCTTTTTTTTATTAATTGCTTTTTATGACATGGACTTTTTTGAAAGGCTCAAGCCACATTCTAGATTTTCCTGATATTTCCTCAGGGTGTCATTGAATTTGTTCCAGTATAGCCTACATTTCCTGTACACTGGAGACCTCGTTAGATTCAGGTTAAATCTTTTTGCCAAGAATCCTTCATAGATGATGTTGTGTATTCACGGTGTGTCCCATCAGGAGGCATACCACGTCGGGTTGCCCGCTACTGGCGATGCTGAGTTTGAACATGTGATTAAAGTTGTATCTGCCAGATCTGTGCATTGGAAAAGTACACGTTTGTCTCTCTAGTCAATAAGTGATGTGATTCTTTCAGAGCGTGTGATTGTGCTTTCCCAACTTTGACCCAGTGGCTTTGGTAGCCATTGATGGTCTTTGCCTAAATCAATTATTACATTTAGAGATGAAAGATGGTGATTTTCTATTTCTCCCACTCCTTCTACATTTGTTGGCTGGCATTTTTCTGTAAAGACCAGTTCACTTTCTTTTTTCCCTCTTTACCTCTCTCATGTCTTCCCTGCGTGCCCCCATAACTCACGTGGCCACCCTATCTGAAGTATCCGGCAAAGGGGAGTGAGACTTCCATGACTGGACTTTGGGCAATTTGTTGTCCAAGAATGAGATTCAGTTTGCAAGAGAGAAAGAGGAGTGGCTATTGGTTAGACAGCTATCTGTGTCTGCCATAATAAGAGACACAGAAAAATATGAACCTATAGATAAATGCTTTGTTATGCAATGTGATACAATTCAGTTTTTTCTAAAATATTATGGGACACAGACAGACAATACACACTCACAAAACCCTGTTGAACACCACCACGACAGATATGCAGTTCAGCCTGAATGTTCATCAGAAGATGACTGATTAAATAAACTATCATGCATCCATACTCTGTAACCAAGAAAAATTTCTATTTTTATTTTTCAAGGAAAGATGGTCACAACATATTATGGGACCAAAATTCAGGTTATAAAACAGTTGGGTCTAAATTGGTACAGTTATTTACTTATCCCCATTTTATAGATGTGGAAGCTGAGGTTGAGGACAGAACCTTGGGGGGAACTGCATGTGTTGGGGAGGACAGAGTCTGGGGTAGGTGGAGGAGTGACCAGAAGGGAAGGGGGAGAGCCCATGTATGAAGGCACACTGACTATGAAGCCCAGGGAAGAAAGGACAACAGGGAAGCTGCAAGCAGCAGTGTGGTGGCTAGACACAGAAACGCGGGGTGGAAACAGCGTGGTGACTTGACAGAGAGCAGTCTCAATGGGGCTGGAAAATTACCTTGCCAGAAGCCCCAGCCTGGGTCATTAGGGAAGGTGTGAGTCCCCCCGGATGGGTGGGATTACTAGAAAGCACAAGGAATAAAAGTCGCATAGAAAGGCAAGATTGAATGGAGTAACAGGGCTATTTAAACATAAGGTGGAAGACCGAAGCCTGAGACCTAAGATGAGAGATTGCAGATGTAGGTGAGGGAGGAGAGGGTCAGGATGGGAGACAGAGAAGACACAGGGATCGCGCTTTAGGGCTCTTTGTTTCTGCCTTGTTCATTATGCTTTGTTTCTTCTATAGTTCATTCATTGTTCCAGCAAATATTTTCAGCACCTTCTGTGCACCACGCATTATGTTTTGTTTACATATCTGTCTCTCCTAATAGTTGGAACAATCCTTAATAGTGGGATCCCTGGAATGGCAGAGGCTAAGGTTAGAATATAGGTCCTTTTACTTACTGGTTCTATGACCTTGAACCAGTCATCTAGCTTGCGGAGTTTCAGGAGTTTTTGTTGGTTAAATGAAGATAGTACATCCCACTTTGAGGACTGTATTGATCAAATAAAATAAGGTATGAAAAGACTTTTCACAGGACCAGATTCATAGATAGTAAGTAATTGTGTCAGTTAGAATTAGGTTTGGCTTAAAGTAACAGAAAACTCAAACAGTGGCTAAAATGATTTACAAATTTTTTTCCTCTCAATTACAAGGACTCTAGTAGATAGGGTAGTTCACAGTGTCAGAGACTCAGGATCCTTTTATCTTATTGCTGCGTTATCCTCAGCCCATGATTCAGCCTCATGGTCCATAATGGCTGCTCAAGCTCCAGCCATCAGGTCCACATGCCAGCCAGTAGGAAGAAAATGGATCCAAAGAAATGCATTCCTTCTGGAAGTTACAAATAACCCTTCCATTTCATTCCATTGGCCAGAATTTAGCCCCATAGCCACCACTAGCTGTGGCCTTAACAAGGTAGAAATAATTTAGAGTTAATATTAAATTCATGTAGAATATTCATGATTAAGTATACAGCTTATAGATTTCAGAAATATATAAGGACATCCTTGTTTAATAAACACATCTTTGGCCAGGCATGGTGGCTCACACCTGTAATCCTAGCGCTTTGGTAGGCCAAGGCAGGAGGCTTGCTTGAGCCCAGGAATTTGAGGTTGCAGTGAACTGTGATCACACCACTGCACTGTAGCCCAAGCAACAGAGCAAGACCCTGTCTCAAAAGAAAGACTTCTTTATCAGTGAATTATCATAGCAAAGATTTTTTAAGTCAGGAGAAACTTTGTAATTATGTGTTAGCAATTGTGTTGCTAAACACATCCACTTCTTGTTGGATAGGCTATTGTCAAGAAGCTCAGCATGCCTTATATTATCTTTAAAAAGTGGCTCTCAAAGTTTCGTCTATAGATAAAAATGGTGGCCTTAAAACATCTGTGCTGTTAGACATCAGGGCAGGGTTGCCCTTGGAGAAGTAGGTCAGTGACTGAACAGGAGCATGAGGAAGCTTCCAGGGGGCTGGCACTGTTCTTATGTCTTGATCTCAGTGCTGGTTACATGGGTGTGCTCAGTACATGGAATTGTCTTGAGATTCACACTTAGAATCTGTGCACTCTTAGGTTCTTTGCTGTAATTCAATACATGTTTCTTAAATGGTGGTCATATAGATCTACCAGTTTACAAGACATACAGAACATTAAGGACATGTTAAACACTCCAAGGATGCAATTGGCCAATCCAGAATGGGAAATTCTATAGATAACTGTTGAAGCTAAATAATGGGCAAATGGTGTTATTAATAATTATACT